GTTTATTTTTGAGAGAGAGCAAGCAGGGGAGGGGCAGAGGGGGGGGGACAGAGGACCTGAAGCGGGTTCCACACTGTCAGCCCAGAGCCTGACACAGGGCTGGAACCCACCAACCGTGACATTATGACCTGAGCCGAAGTCGGACGCTCAACCGACTGGGCCACCCAGGCGCCCCCGTGTTCTTATTCACTTATCAATATACTTTTAATTAAAAGAGCCCTCTCTTACCATGAGGTTATTTTCTGCCTATTATTTATGGTCGGTGGTGGTGATAACACATGACGGTCTCGTGCAGGTGTATTTGCGTGTGTGTGCGTGTGTGTGTTGGTCATTAATCGGCAGTGTAGGAAGTTGGCATCTCTGAGCACGTCCGTCTCCCACGTGGAAGTTTTACGGGGCTTCTGGACCTCCCAGATGAGGACGCCAGACCTTGCTTTTCTGCCTCATCTCCCGTCGCCCAAATACCACGTCCTGTCGTGCTTTGATGGATTCGCACCCTTTACTCAGCTCCTCAACCTCCAAGGCCGCAATCAAGTATCACCCGCCCCCCAGCCCCCTTCTCAGAGCCCGCCTCCCTCCATGCAGAGCAGCTCTGGCCCCGGGCGGGCCTCAGCTGACGCCTGCTGCCTGAGTTTGGGAATGAATGAATGCATGAAGCAAGCGGAAAGCGGTCTTCCGATTTTGGCTGATAGAGAGGGCGTCTGTCTGTCTTCCCTCCGGGGTGTGTTTTGGGGAGAGGCCAAGTGCTAGAAGAGGGAGACAGGTCAGTCGATGGAAGATGGGGAAGCGGAAATGCCCGGCGTCACTAAGGAGTGGACTCTGGAGTCCGATGGACGGGGTCGGATCCAGGCACCAGAGTCACCGTCCGAGCCGGTGTTCATTTGAGTACCTCCCGCGTAAAGATGCCAGGGGCCCACGGTGAACGAGACAGCCACAGCTCCTGTTCTCACAGACAGGACTTCGTTTGTCCAGGTGAGAAAGACAGATGGCAAGTGTAAACAGTACGTCCCGGGAGGATGTCCGAGAGCTATCGGAGCGAGGGTGGAGGGGATGTCATGAAGAAGGGGCTGGCCCTGGGCCAGGCATGAAAAGGAGCCCGTAAGCTCAGTGAGCTCAGTCATGGTGGCCTTCCCGGCCTTGTCCTAGAGCGGTACCTCAACGTAGGTCTGTGGGATCCATCGGTGGGGGAGGGAGGCAGGGTTGGGGACCAGGAGAGGGCTGGAGTATTGGGGGGGGCGGAGCTGTCTCGTGTCAGCAGGCCGGGCCACCTGCCCCATCCATCATTTGGGAACCCGGGACGCCTCCCGCCTGCCCTGTGGATGCCAGTTTCACTTCCTCACGCAGATGTGGGGAAACATGTTTCATTAATTAACTGCTAATGCTTCACAGGTGGCAGAGGTGGCCCGGGAACAGCCCCGCTGTGTCATTCGGAGGCTGGAGGGATGTGCTAATGTGTCTGCACCCCCGGGAATGCCCCCGGTGGGGGAAGGGGGCTCCCCAGCAGCCCGAGAGAGACACTGGGTGAACTCACGGGCTGGAGGTAGAGGGAGGAGGGCAGGGGCGCCAACCGCCCTCCCCCCTCCCCCCCCCCCGGGACACACACATGCGGGAACACAGCCACTCCTGCATACACACGTGTCCCCGTGCACACCCACCCTTGGTGTGCCCAGGAGGACACACACCCGCCTCTTGCTCACACAGACCCCCAGGCACGTAGTCGGGGAGAGTCGTGCCCTCTCTGTCCTCGAGGTGCTCGTGATCCCTTCGCTGGAGGGTACAGCGTCTGTTCTGACGCTTCTGTCCTTGCGCCTGGTCCTGGGCTGAGCCCCGCAGTGGGGGGAGGCGGAGGAGGGAGGGGGTGCTGGGGGTGCAGCCCTCAGCCTTCTGGAGCCTGCTGCCCTGGGCTTTTGCTCCCCGATGACAGCAGGTCTCCGAGGCGTTGCTCAGACGAACGTGTCTGTCCTGGTCGAGCGAGGCGGATATTTGCTAAATGGACAAATCAGATCTTTTTTTTATTAATATGAAATTTATTGTCAAATTGGCTTCCATACAACTCCCAGTGCTCATCGCAACAGGTGCCCTCCTCGATGCCCAGCACCCACCCTCCCCTCCCCCCCACCCCCCATCAGCCCTCAGTTTATTCTGTTTTTAATGAGATGAAGATCCCTCAATGGCTCCCTGCTGAATTTCGAGTCAAGTTCGAGCCCTTGGGGGCCCCTGCCCTTTCTGTGCTCCAGGCTGTGCGTGAGGACCCTGTGTGTCAGAGGGGCGTTGGGAACCCCGGTACCTGCTCCAGCCGCTAGGGGCAGAGGTGGGGGGGGGCAGGGAGTCCAGGGACTCACACGATGATGGTCGGGAGGACGGAGAGGGTGGGGAGGAAGGCGATGGCGAGGAGGGAGACTCTGCCCCTCGGCCCACCTTCCATGGGTTCAAGCAAGCCACGTGGCCGAGCCCCGGGCAGGGATTTGGGAAGTCCCGTGCCCTCGGTTCCCCAGCGAGGCCAGGGCAGGCGTGAGGGTGCAGGGAGGGGTGGTGCCAGCACGCCCTGCCCCGTCAGTGAGTGACAGAGCCAGGGTGTGAACCCCAGATGCCTGGTTGTAGCACCTGCTTTCTTAACAACTGCACCCTGCTGCCCCCCATAGCATGCTGCGTGCCGTGAATGCCGCCGCGCAGGGATGACAACTGTGAATAGGGGGCGGAGATGAGTGGGTGGCCACCAGGAGCAGCTCTGGGGAGCTACACAGACGTGGCGACCAGTCTGCACTTTGTGCTACAGGAGAAGCGGAAGGGCAGGGAGCGTGCGGAACGCGATGTGATCAGTCACATTTGTAAGGGCGGGGATCGCGGGGAGACCGGCTGCAAGGCCTTGTGGGGCATGCGGGGGAGCCGCCGGCGGCCGGTGGCCTGGACCAGGGTCACAGGTTCTACTTTGTGCTGCTCTGTTTTTGCTTTGGCTGCTAGGAAACTCGGAGCCGTGTGTGTGCCCTCCGCTGGATTTCCGCACTCATCGTGTGGGGCATGTGTGTTTCCGTGACACCACCTTTCGTGGAGTGGTGACAATGGTCCATTGTCCCTCTGCACATCTCTGGGGATCTTCATTTTCACACCAGCCCGAGGCCTGGGGAGACCTGGCCAGTCGTCTTCCGCAGGACAGCGGCTCTCCTTGTGCCGTGTGGCTCTGACCCACACGCTTGAATCTGGCGCCCGTAGGCAGGAGAGGATGGTAAGACACAGAAAGCTGCTTCTGGGAGGAGAAGGACCCATCTGCATCCCGCGGCTGGAGCGATGGTGGGGGGGGGGGATCCGCGACAGGTGCCCTGGGGCTTCCTTGGCTCCCCCGCCCCCCACCGGGCCCCCGCTGGGTGCCGGGTACTGGGGACAAGCTCAAGCAAGCTCGTCTCTCAACAAGACACCCCTAAGCTTGTTCTTCCACACGCGGGTTGCTTTGTAGACCACCGGGGACACAGTCTCCGGTATGTAGTTAGCGCTCAATTAATAACAGCCAGAGAGCGGCCGCGCAACCTGGGTGGCTGGGACAGTCCTGCTTTTGCCTTCTGCTGGTGTCTTACCCATTTGTGTCCTGCTCCGGGAGATAAATTCACACAGTCACCGTAGAGGCAGCTTCCAGATACGAGAGGGGTCCGGGCTCAGGCCCCGCAGGGTCATGCCCGACCTCCGGCGTTTTCTCGCTCTGTGGGTCCACAAGATGACTCACTGCTCTGAGCCTCAGTGTGCTCATCTGTAAAATGGATATGATAGGAGTCCTGTATCTCATAGATTTACTGTGAGGGTAAAGTTAGTTGGTACCTGGCCAGGAACAAGCAGTGACTTTTACTCCAGGATAATTCTTTTGTTCCTCATATAATAGAAATTACTGTGAAAATTTCTACCAGAACTGGCATGGTCTTAGACACCAGAGTGTCTATATGGTCTTAAAACGTAGTTAATGTCATTCTACATGGATTGTAACATACTCTCAATCAACTGTGTGTTATATATGTTTACCTAAGTTTCCAGCCTCTGGGGCCACCCTGCATTTTCCTTTGAATGCTGGATGTCAGGGACGATCATTATCTTTATTTTACACGTGTGGAAACTGAGGCTCGGAGGGGCTGGGTGCCGTGAGCCCTGGCTGGCTGCTCCTAGCCCAGGCGGCTCGTCTTTGGGGCGTCCATCACCTGGGGCGCCAGGCCAGGTCTGGCCCCTCTGGTGGCCTCCCACTGAGGACCCTCCCGATACCCCCTCACTCCAGCCCTGCTCATCCAGCATATTTGGGCCCCTCTGGGGCTTCTTATCTCTTTATAAACTCGGGCTCCCAGCCCCTGCTTGTGCATCGCAGTGAGGTGAATTAACCCACTGGCTGTGGGACTAAATGTGTTCTGGGTGGCACGTGTGTGTGCGTGTGTGTGTGCACGTGGGGTGTCCTGGCCAGGGTCCGGGCACCGGTGCCGGCAGCCATGCTGGGTGGGGAGCACTGGCTGGTCTGTGAACCCCCACCCGAGTGACACTGAGAGGTTAAAACTCAGCACACCCAGGGCCTCGTCACTGCCCTGTCCCAGGAGGGGTTTGGGGCATCTTGAGGTTTTCCCCCATCCCCCCGGGCGCCGGCCTGAGCTCTGGTCTGAGCTGTGCCCGTGGGACAGGGGTCCGGGCGGGCAGTGGAGACAGCAGACAGCAGCTGTCTGGCTCACGTGACTCTGCACTTTGACCGTCTTGTCCGCTGTACTGTTTTCTCACCGATCTTTTTCCTTAAACAATGAACACATCGTGAACTACAGAGCGGCCTGTGGAGAAGCATGTGTCTTTCTCTTCCCGGGCCCCGCAGTAGCAAGTGTCCCCCGTTGCTCGAGGACCCCACGGACGTTTACTCTGCACGTGCCAGCATGCTAGGGGCACGGGCCAGCCCCGGGCTTTGGAGAATCACCGGTGGCCCCGTGGGTGAGGGGAGCCACGCGGGATTGGTGATCACCCGGCCCCTCCTTGGTGTGCTCCCCTTGCAGATGAGATGGACCCAGCCCCCCCAGCGCGCTCCGAGTATCTGGTCTCAGGGACCCGAACCCCCCCCGTGAGGAGGAACAGCAAACTGGCCACGCTGGGCAGGATCTTCAAGCCCTGGAAATGGAGGAAGAAGAAAAACGAAAAACTGAAGCAGACCACATCCGGTGAGCATGGGGGACAGGGAGCCGGTGCCACTGTCCCTGAGCTTCTCGATGCGGATGTTGTCTCCCCCTCCCCCACGGTGGGCGGGCTCCCACAGCAGGGGCTGCTCCGCCTTTGGGTCCCTTCCTTCCTCTGGCACAGGCCCCACCCACCCGGCTGGGGGGGCGGGGCCAGCACCGGGCACACCTGCAGCCCACTGCCCGCCCACAGCCACGGGGCACACGGGTGGATGGGACCTTGTTCATGCGCACCTGGGGGTCCCTGCGGGGCAGGGAGGCCAGCTGGTGACGGCAGTCCTTGCCGACCACACTGCAGTAGCACGCGCCCAGCCCCCACACCCGGACCCGCACTTCGGGGGGCCTGCCGTCCCTAGGAGCCCCCCAGGTGATTCAGAGGGCCAGGGCCCTCATCTCGGCCCCAATTCCCGCAGGCTCCTCCTCTTGCTGGAAGCCAGGGCCGCCGGCTCCAGGGCTCCTAAGCTCTTCCCGAGGAGGGTGCCCACAGGCAGTGCCCCCCCAGCGCCCTCCCGCCACCGGGTCCAGAAGCCCCCTTCCGTCACTCACCTGCGGCCCCATCCTCACACCCTGCCGGTCCCAGCGCGGTGGGAAGTTGGGTCGTGGCGGTTGGACCGTTGCCCCTGCCCCCTCGAAATCCACGCCAGGAGCTGTGGCCACGAGACAACCACGCGGACACATGTGGTGACAGCCATACAGCAGGCCGTGATAGCGAGCAGTGACCAGCCAGACACTCAGAGCACCCCGGTCACCCACGTTACCGTGACCCCGCCCATCTCAGGGAGGGCAAGCGGTCCCGCGGCCAAGGTCGGTTCTCGAGTGAGAGGCTGTCCTTGGTGAAGGGGAGGGGGGCCGGTGCCGTGAGAAGCAAACCCCATGGGCCTCGCGCTGAGCTGTGCACCTGTTAGCTACGGCTGGAAACAATTAGTGAGGGAGACGCGCATGTGGAATTAGTCTAGGCCTTGGGGACCAGCCTGGTAAGTGCCTGTCTCGGGCTGCTGTCTCTGACGGTCCCCAGGGCCCCTGTCTCCTTCCCAGCCCTGAAGCCGTGCGGCGTGCAGAGACAGGGCTACCCCAACAGGTCTTTCCCTCACACCTGTTACACGTTTTACAAATTATTTTTAACCCCCTGAGAAGCTGATTGACCCGTTCTCCTTGTCCACAAGGGCAGCACATCAGTGTTACTGCAGGAATCTCAAACACCTCCTGTGTGCCAGGGACAGAGTAGACGGGGGACCCAGGCCCTGTGCACTTAGGGCTCTCTGCCCAGCGGGGAGTGGGGCGACAGACCAGTGAGCATGCGTGCAAGCATGAGAGATGTCACGGCTCCTGTGGGGCCCCAGGGGAGCTGAGCAGGTGCTGGGGAGGAGTGCGGAGGGGTGGGGTGGGTGGGCAGATCTGAGAAGGCTCGGGTGAGGAGGCACCGTTGAACTGAGATGTGATTGGCCCCTTGAGAAAAGCAGGGCAAAGCATTGCAGCAGAGGGAACACTTCACGCAAAGGCATGGAGTTGGGGAAGGCACCAGGGCCCAGAGCAGGGTGGCCTCCGTGACCTGGGGAGCCCCTGATGCTCTCTGGGCCGTGGGATTGGAGGGTTGAGCCGTGCAGGCCCCCTCGGCACTGTGCTGCCACTGAGTGGCCTGGAGGTTCGTCAGGATGCTGTGGGGTCCCTGTAGATGCATGGAAGGTCTCCAGGTTAATACCTACCTGCAGGATCCCCACCTGGAGGCCCTTTATCAGGCATCTGGCCATCTCAGGAGCAGGACTGCATTTCGTTACTTATTCCAGACCATTCTTCCCCGCAAAGTGTGGGATGGTAGTTATTTCAGCTTTTCAAAAACGCCATTTCACAAGCACTATTGGTTAACGTGAGAGGAAGTCAATCTGAAGGTGATTTCAAGACACTAACGAAGCCGGCAGTGGTCTGGGCGGGGCGGGAGGGGCAGCGTCATGGGGACGGCTCCCAGAGGCTGCGGTTGGGGAAGTGGCCCCGAGCCGGCACCTGCTGTGGGGGGCTGGCTCGGTGATAGGGGCGGCCCCCTGAGACGGGACAGCAGACCCTCGCGGCTGCCTCTTTGGGGTGTTGGGAGGGCTCAGGAGTCAGAGCAGACAACGTCCTGTGTGTGAGCCGGGCCCCCGTGAGCGTGACCCGAGCTGGCTGGCTGATCACGCGGCTCTTTGGACCTCCACCCCTGTTCTGCGCACCCCTGTCTGTGAGGCCGGACAGCAGCCCCTCTACTCACACCTCCCAAAGTCAGAGTTCAGTGTCTCAGTTTCGTGCCTACTTCTGGCCCCCGGACATTGGATTGGAAATTGGACTAAAAAAGGAAATTATGCTCCCTTTGCCGGAAAACATCTTCCTGCTGGTATGTTTGGCTTTTCCCTGTCCGTCTTCAGCTGTCAGTGTGAGCGCCCTGAGGGAGGCCGGCCCGGACATTCCAGCACAGCCTGGGCTTCCCAGACCCCTACCTCCCAGTCCCTCTGGTTCTGGGTCATTCCACGGCCCCAGGTGTAGATGCTTCTCATCCAGCTTCCCCAGCGCTGCCTCCAGGTGGAGGCCATGCCTGTCTGGCTCCCCCATGCCTTTACAATGTAGGTGCTCAGTTAATGCTTTATTAGTTCTAAGCATTTGAGCAGCTCTGTTATCCCTGCCGGCTGGCTCCCACTCGAGCCCTGGAGGGAGGGGGGCTGAATTGTTTCTGCTTCCCAGGGACACCCCAGCGTGTGCTCAGTAGATATTTTTGGCTAAGTAACTTCCTCGTCCTTACCTGTTTGTCCTCTGCTGCCAGTCTTTAAGCTCCGAGGGGAGAGGCCGGCTCCGGTCTGTGCTCCCCGCTGCAGCCCTCACCGGGCAGAGTGCTGGCACACACGGGTGACCCATAGGCCCTCTGGGATCAGGCTTAGTAACCAGCAATTTGCATCTTTCAAAGAAGGGGGTCCAAGGAATTGCATGGGGTCGTATTTGGAAATTGAGTTCTAACTGTAGGCAGATAGTTTTCTGGACAGATGAAGAAAAGGAGACTGGCAAGCAGAGTGAGCCCCCGGCCTCATGAGTAGGGGTGAGTGGGAGCTGGCACCCTGGCCGGGCCCCGCCCCCGTCCTCCCTCCCTGTCTGGCAACTTCTCTGAAAGCTTTAAAACCCAGGGTTTTCTCGGAGGAACTTCTGGGAAGGCAGTGGTCACAAAAGACCATGTTCTGACCAGAGCTCTAGAGCCACCAGGGTGTCTGGAAACATAACAGGACCCACAGAAAAGCACCCCCGGGTGTTGGGGGTGGAGGGAGGGTGCGGTCCTGGGCCGGTAAGTTGGGGAGCCTTTGACGGAGGGTAGGCATGTGCAGGAGTCAGCGTAAGGAAGCGTTAGCCGAGGTGTTGCTTTGCAGATGAATCACAGAAATCATTGCCTTGAACAGTGCGCTCAATGTGCTCCCCTCCGCCGTGCGTACGTGCAACGCTCATCAGGCTGCGTAGTAAGAAAGCTTGGAAGTCCCCAACGGCGCTCCCCGCCCGGTGGCCCCCAGCCCCGTGGTCTTGCCCGTGACTCACCGGCCTATTTGTATGTTGTGCAGCACTGGAGAAGAAGATGGCCGGCAGGCAAGGTCGGGAGGAGCTCATCAAGAAGGGTCTCCTGGAGATGATGGAGCGGGGTAAGTGGGGCCGCCACGGTGGCAGGTGCTGGGCCAGGGCACCCGGCAAAGGTCAAGGGCAGAACGGTGATCCGGGAAGCCGGGTATCGGGATACAGGGGCTGGACCCGAAGGAGGCCATTCACCATCGGGTCCCTCCGTGAGGTTACGGGGCCACCTCTGCAAGCGGGCCGGAGCTAACGCCTGTGGGGCCACGTCTGGCCGCTTCCTGCCCTAGCTGGGCCTGGGCCAGGCCGCTGCCGGGTCCTGGTTCCCCACGAAGTGGCAGGATTGGCTTTTGGTTTTTTCCTGTTGACGTCATTGTTCCTGATGCGGGCGAGTTGTTTTTACTCGCACGGCCGTCTAGTACCCTTGCTGGTCCTTGTGACGTGTGGACGGCTTTCTGGGTGCTGAGCGTCCTCACCCTCACCCCTTCACAGCACCCTCAGCCCCCCGGGAGCGCTCGGATGCTGCTCACACTGTGCCCTGGAGGCCTCGCCACGGTGACGTCCGCGTGGCCACCTCTGTGTCTTTGAGAAACACCACCTGTTGTGGCTCGCGGGTCATTCGTAACGTTCGTGGCCTCCCCGCCTCGTCCTGCTCTCTGGGTGATGACGAGGCACGGGACTCAGGGCCCGACGCACACCTTTTGTGGGTCCTCCTCCTCTGGGACTCTGGTGTCCCCCCCACCTCACCGCCGCTGGGAGCTCTCTCTCGAGCCTGACCAAGCTCTTGCCTCCTGACTGAAGGGTCCTGGCCTCCCGGAGCCAGTTCCCAGAGGGTGTGAGGGCACGTGGCGCCCCTACCCCCTTCCTGTCCTAGATCTCACTAGCGTGTTTGTCGTTTGGCCCAGGAATCAGGGCCGGGAAGGGACCTCGCGAAGTCAGGGCATCCAGATGTATACCAGGCTCCGCCCCCGTCCTGCCTGTCTGCTCTCAAACCCCTTGTGGTCTTTGTCCTCATGTCTCTTCTTCAGCCTCAAAGAGTGAAGTATTTTTGGTTTTAATTTTATTTATTTATTTTGAGAGAGAGAGAGGGAGAGAGAGAATCCCAGGCAGGCTCTGTGCTGTCAGCTCAGAGCCCGATGCGGGGCTCGGTCCGACAAACCGAGAGATCATGACCTGAGCTGAGATCGAGGGTCGGACGCTGAACCGACCGAGCCACCCAGGTGCGTACAGAGTGAAGTATTTTGAGGACGCCGTCTTCCTGGGAAACCAACACAGCAGATGGCTCACGACTGATGATCTAACTTGCGTGTAAGAGGAGAGCTCGGTACCCAGTCCTTCAGGGTTCGGATGCCGAACGTTCCGACTCTCGGGTTTGGGGGGATGTCATTGCTGATAGGAACCTGGACTGTGTTAGTCTGGATGGGACAAAACAGCTCCAAATCCTGCATTTTGAGCATGTTTCCAGCCAGCCTTCCTTTGGACCTTGGGGAAGGGGGATGGGAAATGAAAACAGACCTGAGGCCTGTGGATCATCTATCATAGAAAATACTATTGCTGGTGCATGAAAAGTAAGTGGACGGATTTGATTGCTGTCAGGAAAACAGAGGGGTGGGTGCAGAACCGAAGGGGAGTCTTCCAGAAGAGCAGTCTGCCTTTCCTCAGCTCTGAACCTTTGTTAAACGGTTTTGTCTGATGACTGATGGGCCATATGGAGCAGGCGGTGTCTGGCTTTGGCCCCCAGAGTGTCATCTGCCACCACCCCCCCCTTTAGATCACACTTTGTCTCGCCGAGTGATTATGAACCGGGAACCAGGTGGGTCTCACACACGGTCTCCTTCCTCAGGGGTTGAAACCGTGCTCATTAAGTGATGCCACAGGAGATGGTCCCACAGATGCAGGATCACCACAGAGGGGGGTAGGGTGAGCACCCGGTGAACAAGACCCCGGGACCCGACCTGGGCAGGGGGCCACGGGGTCATGTCTGCGGGGGATCCCAGGGCCCCGGGAGAGCAGGCTGGTTCTCAGAGCGAGCTGCGCTGTGCGTTAGCTTCGCCAGGCGCGCTCTTGGATTAAATGCCCTGGGGGCGGGACCCACGCGGCTGGACTTCACGGTACCTCCCCAGCTGCCTCTGGCTTTGGTGCCACCGAGGCTGAGAAACAGGGAGAGTGGGGAAGTGGGACGTATCTTCCAGCCCTGGAGGGCCCTCGGTGGAAGGGAGAAGGTGGGTGAGGGGCAAGCAGGTAGGAAGCGTGGAGGGGGCCCTGGGTCTGACAGAGCCTTGTATCTTCCCTGCACCCCCCCCCCCCGGAAGCTACCGGGTGACAAAGGCACTTCCAAGTGGCCGCAGGAGCCCGGGGCAGCACAGGGGCACGGGCTGAGCGGGTCTGCGGTGAGCCTGCCTAGCGTGTCGCTGAGGGGGGCATGCTAGGGAAGCAGGGTGCCTCTGGGAGGCGGCCTGGGGCCAGGGGGAGGAGGGGGACGTGCTCTTGTCATGCTCTTTCCTCCATGTGCTCCAGCTCCTGAGGCTGCAGGGACAGCAGGATCTAGGACGGTGCTTGGCATCAGGCTCCTGGGGCACCTCCTGCCCCACACTGGGGTTTGTGCCAAGCACTTGCTTAGAAAATGCCTTTTCCCACTGGGGGCGGGGTCAAGTCCTGGTCAGGCCGTGTGCGCCCCGGATTTGTTCTGGTATCGGGATGGCCGACTGGGTGCTGGGAATCCGTGGGGGGCTGCCGAGTGTCCCCTTCCGGCTCTGGGCTCGGAGCTGAGCCTCCTCCCCTCCACTGGCCTCCGCATAGCCTCGGTGTGGGGGTGAGCCCCCACTCCGGGGTTCGGAGGAAGGACTCCATGGCCAGCACCTGCTGCCAGCCAGGCTGCTTGTCTGCAGCCGGAGCACCTCCCTGTGGCCAAGCGGTACCCAGGGCTTCATGCCCAGCGGGCGCCTGGGTGGTGGGGTGTGGGTAACAGTGACCAAGGGGCCCAGAGAGGCCGCCACGGGCTCGGGTCACAGACCCTGCAGAGCTGCCCCAGACCTCACCCGTGCCCTTCTTTGGCCGGGACGAAGCCGCACACGTGCACGGTCTCTGTGTGTGTCACCTGGGGGTTTGCCCACCCCTAGAGCAGTCAGCAGCCTGATGATGTGAGCTGGTCCCCGGGAGGGGACTGCAGGGAAGAGCCCCGGGGTCCCCGGGAGAGGAGCCCGTGTCCCTCCTGGGTGTGTGGTTTTATGAGGCAGTCTGACCCCCCACCCCCCTTGTTCCTGCAAGTCTGCTGATGTGCCGGGTGTGCGCGGGGAGGGGGCAGGTGACCCTTCCCTGCTTTGGCCAGGCTCCGCCGACTCCTGGGTGACTGGCGAGGGCCAGCAGCCTCCCCGCCCCTCCGCCGCATCCTAGCCCACGGGACAGGAGCCTGCACATTTCCCCCCAGTGACTTTGCTCCGTCTTCCCGCGTGCGTCCACTCGGCATTTGCTTCGGTAACTGGAGGAATCTCCCGTTCCAGCGCCGGGTGTAAAAAAGATACTTGTGTTCGGTGACCCGAGAGACGCGTGGTTTCCTTCCTCGGGGAGGGGGGGTTGGGCGGCGACGAGTCAGGTGCATCTGGCTGTTACGTGGCGGGAAGGCCGGGCGCGGTGCGTGTGTTTGCGGCACGTTCCTGTCGCCGTGGCCGCTCTGTGTGACACCGGTGGTCCACCGCGTGCCCCTCCACAGCCCCCGGGGGGGAGGACGGACATCCGATGGAGAGCAGGCCGGGAGGGAGGGCTGGCTGAACAGCGAGGCACAGGGGACAAGCCACCCACATCTCCTCGCCACCCCCCCAACGGCGTTTCTAGGCAACGGCCCTGTCAGCAGGGCTATTTTGGGAACTGCCAACCTTTCACTGAACGCGATTATGAACCGGGGCTCTGAGCGCAGCCCAGAAAGGTCCTACAAGTGCGCTGAGCGGGGACGCAGGGGAGGGCCCCTAAGTCCGCGTGTTTGGGGAGGACGAAGCCTTGGCTGAGCTGGCCACGGGCTGCAGGCCTCTGGGCCCCACACGGGCGAGTTCTGGTCACGTGATGGTCGTTGGTGATGACTAGGGGAGGGTCGTGGGTTCAAACAGTGGTCGTCCCTGGCCGCCAGCGGCCTGTCCTTTCGAAGGAGGGGTGTGCCTCTGTAAGCGGCGGGCGGCAGCCTCCCCTCGCGGAGGTGTGCGGTCCGGCCGAGACGGTGCTGTGTCCCCGGCAGGCAGGCCCCTCGGTGCCAGCTGTGCTCTGCGCCCTGCCACCGAGGACCAAGTAAGCTGGCGGCAGAGACCGTCACGACTGCATGTCGAGTCCGCGTAAATCAGCCCTGAGCGGCGTCCGGGAAAGTGTAGTTTTGAGCTTTGTGACATTCAGCTATGCCCACTGGGTCTGTGCCCTTGGCTGGGTCTTTGCCTGCGCCAGGGCGGGTTGGCAGACCATCGCTGCAAGTCTGCAGCAGGTCTGGCCCGGGAGCAGTTTTTGCAAGGCCCTCGGGCTGGGCACGGTTTTTAAACTTAAAGGGTTTTGTGAAAATTTAAAAAGAACGCAGTACCTGCCGTGTGGCCCACAAAATCTAAAATACCAGCCGTCACCTTTTTTGGAAGAGGCTGCTGGCTCCTCGTCTAGGACCTTTGGTCAGCTGACCTGGCTGCATAGACGAGCCCTTCCCAGCCCCAAATCTCCAGACTTCCGGCTGGCCGGCCTCTCTGCCCTTCCCTGGGGGGAGGGCTGTGCAGCCGGTGGGGGAGGGGGGAGGGGGGCTTGGTGGGCATCAGCCGCGACTCCTGTCCCTTTGGGGTCCCACGCCGGGCACCAGGCCCCAGTCCCGGGTGCGGCGAGGATCCTGCCGAGGGAGCCTGTCACCCTCACGTGGGCGCGCGGGCTCAGCCCAGGGGCCGGGCCCTCAGGTTTCCTCGTCAGGCCTCATCAAGGGCAGTAACAATAATTGCAAGCACATGTCGCGTGCCTGCTCTTGGCCAGGTGTGTGGTGTAGCGGAACTGATTTAATTCCCACGTGGAGGCCGTGAAGCAAGTCGTGATGTCTTTACCCCCGTCTCGGAGGCCAGGAAGCGGATGCCCAGAGGTGTCTGCCGTGGGATGGGAGGCATGGGTAGGGTGACCTACTTCTTGTCCACCTTTGGGGGTGAAAGGGACGTTGTTGGAGGACACGAGGGCGGCAGGTAGGGAGTGAGACAGGTGGAGGCGGAAGGGGCCTGACTCTGAGACCGACCCCCGCACCCCCGCCTCCCCGACACGGGGATGAGAAGCAGCTCTCCCGAGCCAGGCTGACCTCCCCGCCGTGCCGTCTCCCCGCGGAGGGACGTGTATGGGTCGCACTGCTGCTCTGTGCCGTGGTGACCTCCCTGAACTGGCCGTGACACCTGAGGGGGCCGTGCAGGTGCCCCGTGCGTGGGTCGGTGCTCCGTGTCTCAGAAGGGGTGATGGTTATCAGCTGGCCGTGTCCCAGCCCGGACCCGCCCTCTGGTGGCCATGCGACTGGGCCGGTTACGCACCTGGGCACAAAGCCCCTCATTTTCAAAGGCCACACCCTCCCAAGTTCCAGCAGCCGAGCCCCCAAGCGAGGGGAGACACTGGATCCTTGTTTCAGCCCTACTAGGAACCTGGGGTCATTTTTTGAAACAATATTTTTAAGTTTATTTATTTATTTATTTTGAGAGCGAGAGGGAGCATGAGTGGGAGAGCGGCAGACAGAGGGAGAGAGAGAATCCCAAGCAAGCTCAGCGCTGTCAGCATGGAGCCCGACGTGGGGCTTGAACCCATGAACTACCAGATCATGACCTGAGCCGAAACCAGGAGTTGGATGCTTAACGGACTGAGCCATTCAGGCACCGTGAGCCTGGGGTTATTTTTTTCTGAGAAGGCCACCTGTCTAGACCGAGGGACTCCCTGCTCTGTGCCCCTAGTCCTGGGCTTGCGGTGCCTCGGAGTGTGAGCCCCCTGCCGGCAAGGACTGACTTGTTCATCCCCGCCTCCCTGGGTGGGCCCAGTCCCAGACTCACAGTGGGGGACTGAGAAGATTTGCGTACCAGGGACCTGATTGTGGAATGGTGGGTGCAAACGTGGATTGGTTACCGGTAGCCGTGACAATGTCCTGTGGCAGATGCCTGCAGCACCTCAGGGCATACGGCAGCCAGGGTCTGTTGTCCCGTCTGGGTTGGCCTCTGCTGCCAGGACAGGAGCAGCTCAGGTTTGCACTGTCTGCCTCTCGCCCCGGCCCGCTGGCCCCGCGTGTCCCAGCGGCGAGGGCAGTGGTGGCTTGACTGCAGGAGCCTGCGAGCACTTTTAAAGGCACAGCTGCATCCAACCTGCGGATGCGCTGTTGGTCGAGTGAGCCGCAGGGCGGAGGCCAGCGTGGGAGTGGGGGGCGCGCACCACGGAGGTGGGTGGAGGCTTTCCTAGGCTCCCATAGGCAGGCGGTGCACAGAGGCCCCGGGGACGGGGGGGCGGGGGGGGTGAGGCAGTGCTGGGACCCCCTTAAGAAGACCGGATGTGGAGGGGGACTCCGGGGGGTGGCGTGGGGAAGAACTGAAGGGGCACCACAGCAGGGCCTGGGATGGCACGTCTCCCAGGAAGGCACCCCGCGTGAGTGCAGGCGTGTTGGAAGGGAGGCGCGGGCTCCGCTGACCGCCGCGTTTCCTTACAGATGCTGAGAGCAAAGTGTGCAATCCTGACGGGGGCCCCCGAGCGGCACAGAGCGAACCGTCCACCCCCAAGCAGGAGATGCTGACTTCAGAAGAAGCCCAGCCAGGAAGCCCTTTGGCCACCGGGACAGACCAGCCTTCCCTGGACGCACCACTGCCCTCGGACTCCCATTCTGACGATGCAGGTACGGCTGTAACTGTGCGGGGCTGAGCCACTGCCGGGATGGCCGTCGGCTGGGTGGCAGCCGAGGTCCCTGGCCACGGCCTGGACAATAGCTCTGGTAGAATCCTGTCCTTGGAGGCACAGCCATGCTCTGGGCTCCGAGCCCTGCCATACTGTGCCGTGTGCAGTTTAAACTCTGCCGGGGCATTTTTCTCTGGCTCTTCCCAGGACAGTCTCTTGCCACTGGGAACGTCTGAGCAGGAAAATTCTCTCCAGGGGAGCGAGCCGGTGTCCGTAGGGGCATCCTCGTTGACCCCAAGATAGGAGGGCGGGATGGGGTCGAGGGACCTTCCGAGTGGCCCAGATCCTCAGCAGGTGGCTGTGTCCTCCACAGAGCATGACCTCAGTGCCCGGCGCACGGCGCCCGGAGCCGTGTGGTGCATGTGGGGCGTCGGATGCCGTGTTCCTCGTGCAGGGCTGTCCTCGCCACCTCGCCGAAGGGCGTGCTGCACGTGTTGCTTGAAACCTCTTTTCCCAGCTCTCTTAGGCGGGAAGAACAGTAGTTCTCATTCGGTGCCATTTGAAGGTAGCGTGCACCCTTCTGAGCCTCCGTGGGGACGGTGGGGGCCGTGGCCATGGTGGTTTTCACTGACTGGACCAGACAGGGGCCAGCTGTGGGCGAGGTGGGGAGGAAGGGAAGGCAGAGCGGAGGCAAAACACGAGCCCCCCGAAGGAGCCCGTGGTGCTTTGAAGCACCCGCCCCTCTTCTTCTGACCCATTAGCTTTTTTGCAGAAATACTCGGGGGGACCTCACCGTCAAGCTGGGAACTTCTCCCCTCGTAAAATTACAAGCTATAAGTACGCCAGGCACAGGGTGGGGGTTGGAAGTTGAACCGTCTGCACAAGCGTGGCAGGTTGGAAATCCAGGCCGTGTGGACAGGCCTGCTGGGGCTTCTGTGGCTTTGGAGCCGGGTGGGCATCTGTTCTCTGCTGCCTTCTTCTGCCAAACGAGGCTCACACCGACGCTTTCCACCGGCCGCCCCGGCCGGCACTAGTGGGCACCTGCTGAGAGCCGTGCCCCGCCCTCCCTGGGGGTGGCTGTGCCTCCCCTATCTTACCCCAGCTTGAAGATGTGATAGGAGTTTGCGGTCTGAAGGGCTGTGACCCTTGGGACAGTCCTGGCCTCTCCTGCAGAGACCCTCTCAGCATATGACTGTGCCCCGGTGGCCCCGGGCATCAGGCTTGCGTCAAAGTGGTGGTCGGCCTGACCCCGCCTGAGCCCGCCTGAGCCCTGCCCCGTGGCCGCCCGGCCTCCCGCGTGCCAGGCTGCTGCACCCAGCCCCCTACTGGCGCCTGGCACTTCTCCTTGGCAGGTTCCTTCTGCTGCTCAGCTCTGCCTGCTCCGTCGGCGCCCCTGCTAACCTCCGGCGCTCTCTTTCCCTGTGTGCTTGGTTTAAGGATGGAGTCTCGAGAGTACAGTTGGCTTGTTGAGGCCACAGATTCGTGTGAAGGCCTTTCTCCTGGACGGGATGTGCTGTCGGGTCGGGGGTCCTCATGGCGAACGTGTCCGGGTCTCGTCCTCCCAGAGTGATGGGGGAAGGCGGACAAACCTGCTGAGTCCACGACAGCGGGCGTGCACACTGGGGCCCCTCCCTGAGTCTGGGGGCTGGGGCAGCCTAGCGATGAGCAAGCATTGGCCAGGCAGAGAGTGAGGGAAAGAGCATCCCGGTTGGGAGAAGGACATCTGCAAAGACAGAGCACAGGGTCCACAAACTTTTTCTGCACGGAGCCAGTTAACTACGGTTGCCTTTGTGGGTCAGAAGGTTCCCGGTGAAACCGCCCACCGCTTCTGAGTAGCCCAAAAGCAGCCACAGAAGATGTGCTGGGTGCCAGCAAAACTTATTTACGAAAGCAGCCCACGGGCTGGATTTGGGGGCTGTGGTTGGCCAGGGAGCAGGACAGACCAGGGGACTTGTGCAGAGCTAAAGGTCTGTACGTGTGGCCAGAGCCAGGGTAAGATAGAGAGAGAGGGGCTGAAGGCAGCTGGAGCTCTGGGGCACGGGACGGAGGTGGGGCCACAGGGGATTTGTGCTGTGGGCGAAGCACCGGGCTGCAGGGCAGGCCAGGGCCCGGGGAGCGAGACCATTGTCCCTGGTCGGTGTGGGGCCCCAGAGATGCAGCCTCACCCTTCAGCTGGACTCTTCGTTCCTGCCCTCGGTGTGGGTCCTGTGCCCCCAGGGTGTGGGAGAGGAGTTTCCAGAGGTGGCTTGTGGCAAATAGCTAGAGAACGTTTTAACAGCGAAGTTTATTTTCATTAGCACAGGTGGAACGGGTTTCTCACTCCGGGTGGTGATTCGGGTTTTCTTCTAATAAACAAGTTGAGACGAAAAGTGTGAGTTCACGTGAAAGAAAACGTAGCAAACTAAAGTATAGGAACACAGAGAAAAGGCCCGATTTTCTGAAGGATGCTGGTTGCGTGCAGGACGCTGTTCTGAGCACATGCATTAGCTCGTTTTATGCTGGAAATGCCTCTGGGGTTTTATCACTAGTGTCGTTGCCTTTTCTGTCAAGGTGAAACGGAGGTACAGGGGTCTGTAGCTCGCCCAGGGGTATAGAATTAGGGAATTCAGGGCAATGTGTTTGCTGGGCCAACCTGGGTCTGAGACGTGCCTCAACTCCTCACTAAGCTGTGTGACTGTGAATAAGTCACTCAACCTCTCTGAGCCTGTGTCCTCAACTACACGTGAGGATAATGCCTCACCATGTCCCGGGGTTGCTGCATTTAGGTAATCCGCAGGAATCCCCAACTCTGTCCGGACACACCCTGAGCCCTCCGGAAGTGTCTGCTCCTGGTGATTGTTGTCGACGTCACTACAGAAAAGCAACTTTTGGGGAGCGAGGCATTAACACGCAGGATCCGGCTGCCTGCAGACGCCCCAGAGCCCCTGCCTCGTTCAGCACGTGTGTTTTGGGAGGCGTGTCCACCTGCGCTGTGCTATTGAGCGAGGCCGCCGCCGCCGGGAGCACCAGGTCTGTAGGGAGAAGCCTGGCCTTGAGCAAAGCCCTGCAGTGAGGGAGCGGATTACAGTCTAACAGGCTTTAAACTCCCCGCTTAAATCATTGCAAGTCAGCATTTAAAAATACGGAGCTTTCGTGAAAACCTTCCACGTTGGGGGCCCCCCTGGGCTGCCGTTGCCACGCAGCCAGGGTCACTGGGGGCTGCGAAGGGGCCACTCCCTTCAAGGGGCTCCCCTGTCCGCTCCTGCCCGGCCCCTTCTGGGAAGGTAAGGAGCCTGGTCCCTGTGCTGCCGCGGGGGCTGATCCGCTCTGGGCCTCGTTATCACGTGGTGGATACGGTGGTCTCCCCGATCTGAGGTTTCAGTCACCTGCCGTGAGCCACTGGTCTGGAAGCGGACACCCCCCCCTCCTGACAACGTCGTCAGAAGGTCGACGGTAACCTAGTGTTCCCTCCCGGGCCTGCACCCTTCCCTCGCTTCATCTCCTCCCCTAGGCTTCTATCAGCTCCCATCACAAGAAGTGCGAGGTATCCCGAGAGAGAGCGAGAGACCACATAACCTTTATCACAGATTACAGTTGTTGTTACACTTGTGTTTCACGGGTTCTCGTTAACCTCTTACTGTGCCTAATCTGTAAATTGCACGTCATCCTTGGTGTGCGCGTAGAGGAAGAAACCTCGTACCTCCTGGGTTCGGCGCTCTGCATGCTTCTAGGCGTCCGCGGGGGGCCTAGCCCGTCTTCCCTGCAGATACGGGGGTGGGGCTGCTGTAGTGAAAGCGTGAGGTGGCTGTGGGGGCACCATGGGACCCGGGTCTGCAGGGACTATGCAGAGCTGGAGGAGACCGGCTATTATCAGCCTCGTGTGGCAGAGAAAGCTAAATTCTGGGCAGCCATGGTGTCTGGGGAGTGCTCAAGCCTGCACCTGGGGTCTCTTCTTGACCCCAGGAAGTTCATGGAAACGTCCAGGGGCCCAGAATGGGATCCCCTGGGGACTCGTGTGGTGTTCACGGTGTCCTGGAAGGTTAGCTGCTTTCTCTTAGAAAGCAGACGTCCTGCGAACTTTGCTGGGGGAGGGGGCGCGGGAGGGGCCACATGTCCATGTGCATGGAGAAGCTCCTGGCTTCAGGGGACGTCACTCCTTGGCCAGGCGGTAACACCTGGGCTGGGGCTGTCACTTCCTATGTGTCACTAACTGCTCTGTGCGTTTGGGGGGGGGGGGGGGGGGGGGGGGTTATGTCCAGAATCACAGGTCTCTTAGGAAAAGGATCAAAGATCCAGACCATTGTTTTTGGTTTTTGACCCTCACTTCGAGTTTGGTGATTTGGGTTTGGGTTGACTTTGGACCCTTGTATTTGGGGTGGTTTTGTTTTTCTGGTTTTATTTGGATGGTGTTATACCGGTGGCCTAACATTCCCTAAAAAGCCCAGAAGGATCTGTTTTAGCTTTAAATGGGACAGGTGGTTGTCCCGCGTTTCTGTTGCCAAGCAGGGCTATGCTCTGACATTCTCAAGAATGCACGAATTAAAAAAGGAAAGTGGCATTCAGTAAACCTGTACTATGTTCACTGTATTTTCTTAACAACGCTGTTTGTTCAGATGAGAAAGCAAAGGCCCAGAGAGATTGTTGCTTATCTAAGGCCAGGGAGCCCATCAGTGGCAAGCTGGGGTTTGATCCCCGGACATGCTTTTAACCATAATACTCTACAGGGCGCCTGGGAGGCTCGGTCGGCTAAGCACCCGACTCTTGATTTCGGCTCAGGTCATGATCTCACAGTCTGTGAGTTTGAGCCCCACATCGGGCTCTCTGCTGACGGCACAGAGCCTGCTTGGGATTCTCTCTCTCTGTGCCCCTCCCCTGCTTAGGCTGTCTCTCTCTCTCAACATAAAATAAACTTAAAAAAACAACAACACAATGCTCTACAATCCAAACTAGAGGTGCTTCTGGAATGCTCTGGAATATGGGTTGTTTGTGAAGTAAGGAGGGGATGGTGAATGGCAGGCTATAGGTGAGACCCAGCTGCCACCTGTCTGGATGGCACACTCAGTGTGCTGGCTCTGTAAACCCAGACACCAAGCCGAGTCTGCCCCTCCCTGACTGGTGGGTGCACTTCAGCACTGCTCAGACCCTGGGCTCGTCCCGCCTGCATCTGGGACTCAGCCAGCTGCCTTGCCCTTGGCCAGCTGTCCCAGTTGAGACATGCCAGGTGTTTGGGGTGCCATGAAACTACTCACAGCAGCTGTCCCCAGCCCACCGGGACCTTCCTGTCTCACCGGTCACTCTTGGTCTTGGAAGGTCTCCAGTGAGTGGTAACTGGGCTCAAAGCATGCCCACCACCTGGGAGGCACTTCCCAGGCCAAAGGGCAGGGTAGAGCTTTTTCTCGTTACATAAGCACCTACATAATATTCTCGAGTTGGCCTCTTGTCCTGCAAAGCCTAAAATATTTACTATCTGTCCCTGTACATGAAAAAGCTTATCAGCCCCTGCTCAGGAAGGTGAGTGGAGGCCACATGGAAGCGTGTCACTGGAACGTTTCCTAAAGTATGCTGGTAAGTCCTGGATGTGCACTCTTGGTTGAGCTTCGGTTGTGTCTGTTCCTCAACTGAGCCCTACGTTGTGGTTTGTGCAGCGACATGGGAGCCTTGGCTTAGAGTTTGGTTGGTGAGGAGCGACCTCTGCTGGTCAGGGGAGCAAAGGAACAGTGCCCTCCCCCCCCCCCCCCCCATGTCCCAGACAGGATCTCAAATGTGGGAAACCTGTGAAACTGACCTTGTCTTCTACATCTTTTTTCTGATATAGCATTAAGACTTTAATGGATATTCATGTCAAGATTCCAAACTGTAATGGTAGCTATACATTCACATGAGCTGCAGAGGACAGAGGCTAAAAGATCTCAGAGCCCCACTTTCTCAGCCTGCGGAGCCCCCGACAGGTCAGGGACATAGAGGTCAGTGTGTGACCGGCATGGATGAGTTTTGTGGGAAGATGTTGGAGGGGATTTTGGTGAGACCTGCCGGTGTGTTGAGTCCCAGGGCTCTCGGAGCAGAGGTGGGGGACCCGCATTCCACCTTGGGCTAGTGGGAAGAGGAGACCTCTGTGGGGCTGGAAGAAGCTTGCACTGCGATCTCTGGTTGAGGGGTGGGGGCTGGGACCACTGACTCCCAGAAGTCCAGAGCTGTCGTCACCAGTACTCACTAGCTGCATGGCTATTTAGATTAATTAAAACTAAATGAAATAAAAAAATTCAGCTTCACACTGGCCACTTGTCAGTTGCTCATTGACCACCCATGGCTGGTGGCTACTGAAATGGACAGGGAGGAAACATTTCCAGCATCTCAGACATTTCTGTTGGGCAGCACTGGGCATGCGTGCGTCCACTTCTGGCACAGGCAGGGAAGTTTTGCTGTTTGACCTGCCAGCCCTCTGGAGGTTGCTGCACCAACAGATACTCTGACCTGCAAAAAACCCTTTGTGGACAAAGTTTGCAAAACCCCTCGTGTAGAGAGTGGATTTGGGGCAGGAAGGGAAGGAGCCAGGAGGCCATTGCTGAGGTCCAGGTAGAGGCCAGGGAAGCTTGCGTAGGGAGGACAAGTGAACGTTGCTGAGAAATATTTTGGAAGGAGAGCACACAGGATTTATCTGTGAATGACATATGGGAGGCAAGGTAGTGGGTGTCCAGTCTGGCTGCACGGCTGATGAGCTGTGTAGGAAGCCTGGTGGGGGTGGGGATCTGTCTGGTTGGGTGCCATGTCTGCGGCTCCTAGAAGGGTGCCCGAACCCCATAATTGTTGAAGGACCTTTGCAAGATGGGTTGATGGGTGAATGCATCTGAAGGAAGGGGAAGGCTGGAGAGGGCTTTCCCTTGGGAAATCAAGAGATGGGTTTGAGAATGTTTCATTTTGCCTTTCTGACCTCCAGATGGAGATGTCGCAGTGGCTGATAATGTATGAGTCTGGAGCTAGGAGGGAAGGTCAGGGGTCGACAGAGAGATGGGTTGGATTCTGAAGCCAGAGGACTGGATGGGAAAATTAGATGAGAGAATTGTAGCTGTGGACTGAGGAATGGGTCCTAGGCTGAAGGCTGAGGGCTGGGTCCTCCTGGGCAGCCCGATGGAGCCTGCAGGGGGCTGAGCATGTTCAGACAGCGTGACAGGAGGGGACTGGGGAACAGGTGTCTGGGAGCCAAAGAGGAGCGTGATGGAGACTGAGGACAACTGAGATCAAGCGGCCCTGTCCCGCCTGACGTAGGCATGGGGACCCTGACCTGGGCTGCCTAGTCTCCCAGTTAACCCATCTCTTGGCAGCCTGGCTAAGGGAACCTGTGGAGTCCAGATCATACATTGCTCACCTTGTCCGGACCCCCAGGACTCAGAGGAAGCAACTATCCCGTCCATGTTTGCACATGGCAAGACCCAGGCTTGTGCCACAAGAGTGTCATGGCCATGGAGTTGGCTGCGGACAATAAAGGCACAGAAATGGTAATAACCTGGGATCCATGGGATGCACAGTGTCTGCTTCCAGAGTTTCCGTGGAAATTCTCCAAGGGCAGGTATCAGGCCAGCGCCGTGTTTTCAGTACCATGGCCAGCGCTCTGCCCCTTAGGGCCTCCAGAACCTTTTCTGAAGGATGGAGGAGCCCCAGGCGGTGACTGTGGGCCCAGCTCTGCCAAGCTGTTCTGGGGAGTGTTTGTGTCTTCCTTCTCGGCTGGTTGTAAAAAATGAGACGAGGCCATGCGCAGCAGGCATCTTACACCAGGCTGGGCACCTGCTGTGAGAGGGCAGGGCGTGCTGGGGTCCCCACGTGGGGATGGGGCTGGGGGTCCACCTCTCTAGTATCAGGGAGGAAGGAAGGAAGATGGGTTTCAGGGACAGTTGTGTTGGAGTCAGGCATCTAAGAACAGCACCCCCACCCCTGTCTGAAGGCCTCAGTTTCTCCTGGAGGTGAGGCCACACGGGAGTGGGGAGGTGAGGAGCTGGAGGCAGGTTTGAGGCCGTGACTGCAGGGTGGAGGCAGAGCTGAGGGCTTTGACCGTGGCAGTCCTGAGGTGGCCACCACTGGGGTTTCTGTGTCACCATCTTCTGCAGCACTCAGCAGGGTGAGCCAAATGAAAGGAAGGCAGAGGACTTGGGGGTGTGGGTGGGATGGGTGGTGCGTGATGGTCAGTAGGACTTGAGTCAGATGAAGGGAGAAGGGAAAAGACAGTGCTCGTGGATGGGGAGAAAGCAGAGGAGGGATGGACAGTCTTGGGGGGCGGTGCTCAAGGGGCAGCAGGAAGGAGAGGGGACAGGGGCGCTGGGCGGGCTGACCCTTCCTCTGAGCTGGACCTCCTTGCCTCCTGAACCACTCCTTGGGACCTACACGCACCAGGGGCCAGGGCTGCTGAAAACCACACGTGTAAAGTCAATGGCTGCTGAATTTGAGGGTCTGCAGGTGCCAGACCCACATGACATTGTTCCCTCCTGTTTAAACCTTGCAGCAACCCTGGGAGGGACTCTGGGGTTTGTCAGATCTCCCATGTGGGGCAATGGAGACACTGGAGTTTGAGTCACTTCCCAGGATGACAGTGCAGGGGCCGACTGGAGCCTGGGTGTGTCTCATTCCCAAACTTCTGATCGTGACCAGCCCCAGGTCAGGTGGGGACAGGAGCTTTGGCGCCACCTGTTGACCGAGAAAAGGAACAGAATTACTCCTGCTCCTGAATTCTTTCCTCTTCTCCCTCCTCCCCCTCCACCCCCCCAACAGGTCTATTGACTTCTAAACTCACAGGAAGTCAGGTCTGTACGTTGAGCAGCCCCTCTGTACCCTGCTCCTGTTAACAGTCCCACCCCACCGAAGCCACTTTACTATCCTTGCTCATGTCCAACCCCATCAGAAGCAGCATGGCTTGTGAACTCTCTGTTTTGCCTTTGAACCCAGCCAAGATGCCGTCAGCATCCAGAGGTGAAGAAGCAGACGCCTCCGGCAGCCTCCCGCCTACCGCGGACGAACCCTCTCAAGCCTTAGCCGGGTCTGACTCCCTGGACAGCCCTCCCAGACCCCTGGAGAGATCCGTGGGCCAGCTCCCCAGCCCCCCGCTGTTGCCCACGCCACCACCCAAGGCAGGCTGCAAAACCACGAAAAATGTCACAGGTGGGTCCGCATGCATGCATCCTTCCATCCGTTCACCCATCCGTGCCTTCGACCAGTCTTGATGGGCTCCCGCTGCGGGCTGGTTCTCACCCTTTGCTTTTGCCGTCCGGGCTCTAGGCAGTCCCAGGGGAGACGGACTGGAGGCAGGAGGCCTGGCTGCTCTTAGCAATGAGCCGTGGTTGTCAGGAGCAGACCCCTGGGCTCCCTTAAGCAAATGAGGCAGTTTATTGGCAGGAGTCCAAGGAGTCTTCCAGAACCTGAATGCAAAAGGTGTAGCCATCCCCCAGGAGGGGGACTTTGTCTGTATGTTCAGGTGTCTTCTCTGTCTCATGTTCTCTCTCCCTCCCCCGCTCCTCCCCTTCCTTCCCCAGTCTGTCTCCACTTCTCCCCGATGGCTCCATCTCTCATGGTCTCTGCCTGCTCTGTCTCATGACCTCGTTCCAGTGAGCTCCATCCTGAAAGGCAGAGGGAGGCAGGGATAAACACTCGACTGTAGGGTGGGGATCAGAGAGGGGAGCACGGCTGGGCAGAGGCCCCAAAAGGCATCCGCTCCTATAGCTTTGGCCACACTGGCCGAATAGTCCCTGGAAATTGAGACATTTGCTTTCGGAGTTTGGGTATTTCTTGTCCCCTCACTGCTGAAAATAGGAGACGCTGCTGGTCTCAGGGAAAAAGCAGACCCTTCAGTCCGAGGTGACTGTTCTGAAGAGTCGATCCTTACGTGCTGCCTGAAGGCGGCAGGCATGAAGACAACGTGGATGGTTGACCTGAGCGGTCTTGCTGTCCGTGAGCCCCTGACCACCACTCACAGTACCACTCCTTCCCTCTTGTTGGGCCACAAGGAGGCCCAGCTACACACCGCCCGTTCCTAATGCACGGGCCAGCACCTCGAAGAGACCGAGGCTCAGGGGCTCCAGCAACGTCTCCCAGGTCCCACGGCTAATGGAGACTGGAACCCAGTTCTGGGCCTGAGGCTGGTAACCCCCATACCGCCCTCCCTGCTAAAACCTTCTTCCCCAGCATCACGCGGTCAGTGCCTATGCGTCTCTGTCCCTCCTTCAGGGCCGCTGTCCCTGACCTTACCCCATAGCAGCGTGCGCCTGGCCTTGGGGCACTTACCACATGCTCCGCCTCACCCGGTGGGCTGAGTAATGTGCCCTTAAAACTCACGTCTACCTGGAAGCTCAGAACTGCGGTCTTCTTTGGAAGAGGGTCTTCGCAGACATGAGATTAGATCGGGATCAACATGAAATCGTCCTGGCGAGGGAGGGGCCCTAAATCCAATGAGCGTGTCCTTATAAGAGACACAAAAGCACCCACCAGACGACCTGGATGTGGAGACGGAGATTGGAGCGAGCTGTCTGCAAGTCACGCCATGCCGGCGGAGCTGGGGGATGCCTGGCGTCTTTCTCTCTCCGCCGTCGGAAGGATCCAGCTGCTGACACCTTGATTCCAGACTTCTGGCCTCTACGACTACGAGAGGATGACGTCCCGTTGTTCTGAGCTACCCAGTTTGTGGGATTTTGTGACCGCAACCCGGGACCCTACCACGCCCTAGTGCTGGCATACAGCAGGTGCTTAGCGAGTGCGCGCAACTGTGACTGAAGGAACAAGCGGACGATCTGAGCCCCGCCTGCTTGTTCCTACCTCTCTGGGATGAGTCTAAGCCTATAGTCTTCCCGGGACGTGGCCACACGGATAGGAGTCAAAGTTTCGAGGCAGGATCACACTGTTGCAACTTGTTGCTATCTTGTGAGAGTTTTCTTTTCCATCCGTTGAGACTTGAAACAATTGGAAATCCATCCGATCAGGCACTGTCCACCATGTTTTATTCTGGCTCACAGACAGTTTGTTCTGGACCCTCGGTAACTCACAGACGTCCTGCCTCCTCTGTGCTTTGGACAGATCAGACCTAAGGCCGCACGGTGAGGTTCCTCTGCCGTGACTCCTCTGCTTGTCCGCACAGCTGAAATTCTGGATTTCGAGGGCCTCGTGCTCTGGGACCCTCCCCTCCCTTTTGAGGAGCTCCAGAACATCGGGGGGATTAATCTGGGGAACTAGACTAGGAGCTGGAGGGCATGGGAGGGTGGTTTCAGCCTGGACCTCTTTTTGACAGCTGAGACCACATTTTGGCGACTCTGTCTTATTTCCTCTGTTCTCTTTTTTCTTCTCTTTGGGGGGAAGTGTTTGCTTCAGCGTGTGGGCGCTAGGTGGCAGCAGAGGAGGAGAGAGGCCCCTTAGCTGGGCTTAACTGGAGGGGGGGGGGGACAGCATACACAAGCTGAGTCCCCACGGGGGGGTGTTTGCCTGCAGGCCTCCTCACTGACCCTCCACCAGAGGTCAGGGCATTGTCTTCCCCCTCCCCCCAACCCGGACCCACTCACAGACTTGCTTTGCCGGGTCAGCATGGTGTCGAGTTTTTTTTTAATGGGTTGCCAACATTTTAAACATTAAAATCTATTTAAGCATTAAATATTAACATGTGTAAAACATGTCAGTTTTACCCGGAATCCAGATTTCTGGCTTTTCTTGAAAAGTCTTCATATCTGGCCACCCCTGAGTCACAGCAGCCCCATTAAGGTGAGCAGGTGCTCTAGTATTTACCGAAACCCTTGCCCCCTGTTCGTATGAATTGCGTGAGGTCCCTTGACTCACCTGCGTCTCACTTGCCTGGACCCTGGACCCGTGTGAGTTCACCCCCTCAGGACGAAGCTTTCCCCGTCTAGCTGGATGACGGTCGCTTCCATGTATGGGGGTCCCACGGCCTCTGCCAACCACACTTGGAATCCTGCCACCGAGTTCCAATCCCAGCCCCTGTCATACCCTGGAGGCACGATTTGGGGTTGACTTCTGAGCCTCGGTTTCCTTATCTGAGAAAGGGGAGTGCTAACTGGCGCCCTGGGCGGCTGGACGAGGCGGGCCAGGTACAGCGCTCAGCGGAGCAGGAAATGGGGGGCGCTCGTTCAGTGTATTCGTGATTGCCAGCGTGTGGCGACCCTGCGAGGGTCCTGGCTGAGGGAGCACAGACAAGCCACGCCACCTCAGTTTCCCCACCTGTACGCTGGGACCGGGGATGCCTTCCTAGCAGGTGTGGGTGAGGATTCCAGGCAGCAGAGCAACACCTGCCGGGGAGGCGGTCCCTGTGACGAGCAGGGGCCGCCCCAGGAGGGGTGGAGGTTGGTGGGGGATGAGCTGGTGGAGTGTGGAGAATTGGGGACGGCCCTGGGGGCCACTCTCGGGTGGAGCCTGCCCCCCGCCCTGCCCGTGTCTGGCCACATTGTGAATGGCTGGCACCGTCTCATCCTTGGGCGTCAGCTCGGATGTCCCCTTCTGCCGAGAGGCCTCGCCTGACCGCTGTAGCCCAGCCGACGTGCTCCCGACCCCAGGTGCTCTCAGCCCCCCTGCCTGGCACAGCTCTTTCTCCAGTTGGCTTTCTGTCTGCCTGTCTTCTCTTGGCCCCACCTGGCCGGCCTAGAGGCCCGTCGAGGGCAAGGCCTGGGCCGTGCGTGTTTCCTGGCCGTGCCCACCAAGACGGGTGTTTGTAAAGACCGCTAAATGATGTGTCCCGATGAGACCTACAGTCTTCCTTCTGTCTTCCTGTTAGTGACATCCACGTTCCAGGATTGCGTCAGAAAGTCTTTATTTTTTATGGAGTGGTCTCGATCTCTGTGTCTCTGTGTCTGTCTCTCTGTTTCTCTCTCTCTTCCTGCTGAGGCTAAGAAGGGGTTGGTCTGTTTGTATCAGTCTAGTGGGAGCCCGCCTCAACCTCTCTGGGAACGAGTCTGTGTGTGAAGATGTAACAGGTGCCAGGCCCTAACCCAGCTGCCGGGCTCCTGCTGGCCACACCAGGGAACTGTCGGCCCATTTTACAGATAAGAAGGCTGAGCCTTCTCGAGTTTTGGGGACTTGCCTTGGAGGTCTTACAGCTGATAAGTAGCAGATTGAGACTGGAGGCCAGATCCGTGTAACGACCAAACCCACGCCTTCTGCTACCCCCAGCGCCTGACGCCATGTGGGACTTGGAGTGCACATTCAGGGAGCATCTGTTAGAGGAGCAAGAGAAGCCTCACCTTCTCAGGCAGGGTTTGAGCAAGTCTATTCTCAGTCTTCAAAATCATTTCATACAAACGGATGTCTATTGCACATATATTAAGTGCCAGGCCTGGGGATACAGCAGTAAGAAAGGTAGACTTGGGCCCTGCCCAGAGTCACAAAGTTGGGTGAGAAGGGCAGACCCAGTGAAGTCATTGATTCCAAGTGGGAGGAGAGGGGCGTCCGGTTTTCTGTGCCTAAGACCTTGCAGGGGGCTCGTTGGCACTGATGTCTATGGAGCTCATCCCCCAGGCTTGGGGGCGGGGGGTCTCGTGGATGGAACCGGACAGAGGTGAGCCCTGTCTCTGGGGGCAGGGGACCTGGCACAACTTCTGGAACAGGGCGTCAAGGTCACCTGGCCGGGTGGTGGGGGGAGCTGTGTCCTCTGCCCTTGGGCTCATGTCTTTCTGCAGAGTCCCTCCTCCCTGCTCCCGGGGGCTCACGTTCCTCTCGGTCCCTCTCGTGCTCCAGGCCAGCCTGCACTCTTCCAAGGCTCTGGCGGGAAAAACACTGACCCTCCCCTCCGAGGACAGCTTTCCACGCCCACGGGGTCTCCACATCTTGCTACTGTCCACCGGCCACTGCCCCCCAGCCGCGTCATTGAGGAGCTGCACAGGGCGCTGGCCACCAAGCATCGCCAGGACAGGTGAGCCGCCCTGGTAGGGAGACTTGTGTGCCCAGATTTCCATCCAGGCCAGTCTCGTGTCATGCGCCCGGACTGAGTTCCACGCACTGCTGTCACTGTCTTGAAATTCTTAAGGTTTGGACAAGAGCCCCGCCCTTTCCCTTTGCCCCGGGCTCTGGTCTTGGGTACCACACTCCAGGAGAGGACATGCGGGGGCTGGACACCGTGGGAGCCTGACCACAAAGCCCCTGCATTTCCCCGGGAGGATCCAGGTTAGGGAGTAGCGTGGAGGAGAAATAGCCGTCCCGGCCTCTGCAGTCTTTGAGGTTTCGTTAGGCAAGAGTACAGGTAAGCCTGTTCCGGAAGCTTGCACATTGAGTTTTCATTTCCTGTGTCTGTAGGCAGGCTGTGAAGGAGAAGTGGACGGAGGGCAAAGCAGATAGGGAATGGGATGCACGTGTGGTTTGGCAGAAACGCTGCACACGTTCGTTCTCGGGAAGTCCTGGCCCCATACGAAGCATGGCAGGCTTCATCATAGGCGTGTGTATGCTGTTCAGGACAGCCATGTGCCTGGACGCAAAGCCTGTGTGCCATCTGGGGCTGCGTGCCCTGTGCATTCAGATCAGAAGCTGGACGCTGCACGTACTTGGGGAATTTGCAATATTATCGGAAGCCCCCAAGTCGATATGCTGGGTCCTCGGACGAAGCGGACAGCGTATAACCCAAACCATCTTCCGCTTCAGTTTTCCAGGACGGGACAGTAAAGCGTCCCCAAAGAAGCGGGTGGACGTCCGCCTGTCGAGAACGTCCAGCATGGAGCGGGGCAAGGAGAGGGAGGAGGCTTGGAGCTTTGACGGCGTCTCGGAGAGCAAGCGGACGGCAGCCAAGGGCTCGGAGGAGAACAAGGAGAACTTGATCGTGAATTCCGAACTCAAGGACGACCTGCTGGTGTATCAGGATGAAGAGGCTCTGAACGACTCCATCATCTCTGGTGAGGGGAGGGCGGGGTCGGCGGGGCCATGCTGACCAGGCGCTTCTGCCCCTGGCGCGGAGGAGGGGTGGGGGCGAAGGAAGGGAGACACGCCTCCGAGGATGAGCAGGGGTGTGTGCGGACAGGCCCTGGGCTGGGAGTAGGAGACGCAGACCGAGCCTCTGTTATTTTGGTAACTGCGTATTGATTTTCGTGTTTTTGTAAACACATAAAAGAGGCTCAGCAAGTAACTTTGAGAGCGTCGCTGCTTGGGAACGCACGGCAGAAAGTCGTACAGGCGGTGCTCGAGGTCCGGTGCTTGGAAATATAGTAAAAAATGCTACCAGGAAAGCGAAATGAGGTGGAAGGGGGAGGGGGAAGGGGATGGGGCCCAGCGGCCATCCCGGACGTGGCACACGTGTGACCACACCTGCTTGTGTGGGAACGCAGGTTCACAGGCCTTGAGATGACAGGCATCAGGTCTGTCCTCACAGCGTGCTCTGGAGCCCGAGTGACTGCTGTGTCTTACCCTGAGGACACGGGCTCAGGGAGGCAGCGCATCGCGGCCGCCCCGATGGGGCAGAGGATGTGCAGGCCGGGACCAGGAAGCGCAGGGAGGGTCACCTGCGGGCCCCGGGGGCCGTGCTGAGTGCGCGCTACTTGGAGGAGGGTCAGTATCACACAGTGGTACGCCCTTGTCCACACGGTGCCTGGTCGTAAGGAGTGAGAGAGCAGCTGATAGATGAATGGCTTTATATACTGTCTGCAAGGCCGTTGGGTCCCCTGAGGTCCGAGATATTGCTGTGTCGACTCCGTGTGTCCACCAGAGGGTCTCGTGGGTGTCTCCAGCCTTAGATCTTCAGGTCTGAGCTCTTGATCTTGGCCCCCAAACCTGGCCTGTTGCCCGTCCCTGAAAACAGCGCCTCTGCCCTCCCTGTGGCCCGGACCCACCCTGACACTCTCTTGAAGTGGCACCTGCCAAGCAGGCAGGTGGTCATGGGTCCTCTGGATTCCTCCTTGGAGCAGACCCCGGGTCTGGCCCTGTCCTCCCCGGGCCCTGTGTCCCTGCCTGTCCCTGTCACCCCTGGGCTCTTCCTCTCCCTGAACTCCCTTGGACGCGGCCACGGGCCCTCGCTGTTCTTCACACGCACCGACCATCTGCCGACCACAGCATCCTCCTGGCCTCTGCACGGGGGTTGTGTGTGTGGCTCCTCTGGGTTCAAAACCCCACCTCCTCCTGGAAGCTGGCCCTGGGTACACAAGTGAGCCTCTCCCCACCACAGCTCTGCCAGCCCCTCGCTCCACCTGACCTTCCCTGTGGCTCCGTGTCCCCCTGACTTGGCTTACGTGCCCCCCCTCCCAGAGCATAGACCCCATGAGGTCAAGGGCTTCGTCCAGTAGCTCGTGCTGTGTTTGCAATCTGGGGGTGCAAAGTGCACACTAGATGTCAGTGGAGCCAGGCCATCAGGGGGCTCAAGGGGAGGGTGCCTGTCCCGTATTAACAGGTGCCAGCCTGGGGAGCCCTTGTCCTCAGCTGTGCTGTCCCATGGACAGTTAGCTGTTTCTCCCGGGGTTTCTCCTGGGGCATGGGCCAAACTTGCACCTCTTGTCACGTGTGCCTCAGAATGTGTCCTCAAGCGAGCAGCGCTTGACTGTGGTCTGACGGGAGCAGGGGGGGTAGAATTCACTCCAGAAACCCTGATGTTGCTAACGCGCGCAGGCTCGCTGCCCAGCTGCCTGGGGAACGTGATGCACGTACTGCATTTGCAGACCCTGAGCAGAGCAACCCCGTCCTCCGTCCCCTCCTCCGCGGGCACCCGTGCTCCCGCCTCATGGTCGAGGCCTCACGTTCAACCCCAAGAACATCCTGTTGTGGGCTGGGCTTGTTGCGCGCGCCATCAGGCATATCTGGAGACCCCGGTCTTCTGCCAATTCAGCCTCTGGGTGCTCATCTCCAGGGGAGTCCAGGGCTCCTGAAGCCTGGGAACCAGTCTGGAGAATGGGTTCTTTGCTTTTTCACATTCTTAGGTGTGTCCGTAATTCCCTCAAAGTTATGAACCTCTCAGCCGAAGTACTTGGAGGGGGAAAAAAACCCTATTTCGGTTCTAGACAAAGCCTAGAAATGTTACTTTTAGGGAGAATGTTATCGTAGGAAAGACCCATGAAAGTATTTTGCTTTGCTCGATAGGACAGCAGTGGCTGTTACTTGCTTCTCCCGGGTTCAAGCCCTGCGCCCAAGGCTGGTAGGTTATTTGTCAGTCCCTGTGGGTGCTGAGGCACAAAAACAGCAAAGCGGTAGGTTCACCAATTATTGGCCACAAAAGCCCCGCAATGTTACCTATCTATTTAGCGTACTGTTGACGGAACCTTGGAGGCATCGTCCCGTCTCACGTGAACAGTCCCAGGATGGGTCAACCCGAATTCTCTAATAAGGTGGCACCAGAGTTTCATTTCCAGAGCTGGTGGTGACCCCACCCAAGGCAGGTTGCCTCGTGAATCAGCTGGGAGACGGAAAGACTGTCCCGCTTGACTGAGCTGTAGAGAAAAACGTCTCTTGTCCTGAGTCTGACGGTTGGACTTGCGCGCAGGGCGACTTCATTGTCGTGGTCAGCACAGAAAGGGGCGCAACAGACCGTGTGTTTCTACCTCGTGCCTCCTGCCAGACTGCGGTGTGCACACAGGGGCACCCTCACAGCTGTGCGCAATCGGTGCTGGGTGAAAACGGGCCACCGAGAACATTCTCCGGTTTGTCCAAAGTGAATTCTTAAGATTTAATTTTTTAAGAGCAGCTTTAGGGTCACAAGAAAATCAGGAGAAAGTTACAGAGACTTCCGTGTGTCTCCTCCAACCCCCCTCCCCCCCGCCACCCCCGCCCCGCCTCCCCGTGACCAGCCTCACTCACCAGACTGGTACGTTCGTTACAACAGATAAACCGACGTTGACCCCTCGTCACCCTGAGTGTTCACTCCCGATGTCGTGCGCTCTGGGCATTTAGACAAATGTGCAGTGACTGGTGTCTATCATGATACTGTCATTCAGAGAATTTTCGCTGCTCCCCAAATCCCCCGTGCTCCACCTGGTCCACTCTCCCCACCACCCCCTCCCCCGCAACCACTGATCGTTTTATTATCTCCATGGTTGAACCTTTCAAGAATGTCGTAGAGTTGGAATCCTGTGGTGTGTAGCTTCTTTCTCGTAGTACCGTGCATCCAAGTTTCCTCCGTGTCTCTTCATGGCCTGATAGCTCATTTCTTTTCAGTGCTAAGTAATATTCCGTTGTCTGGGTGGGCCCCAGTTGACCCACTCACCTACTGAAGGACATTTTGGTTCCTTCCAAGTTTTGGCAATTATGAATTAAGCCGCTACAAAAGTCCACGTGCGATTTTGTGTGTGTGGACATAAGCTTTCACCTCCTTTGGGTGAATACCCACAAGTGAGGTTGCTAGATCAGTATGGTAAGACTGTGTTTCGATTTGTAAGAACCCGCCAAACTGTGTTCCCAAGGCGCCTTGCCATGTTGCCTTGCAATGCCAGCAGCAATGAACAAGAGGTCCCGGTGCATCACGTCTTCACCACAGCATCAGGTGTCGCCAGGGTTCCAGATCTGGGCCGCTCTAAGAGGTTGTCGTGCTGTCTCGTTGTTTTGACTTGCGTCTCCCTGATGACCGACGCTGCGGAGCAACTTTCCATACACTTACTTGCTCTCTGTGCATCTCCTTGGGTGAGGTGGCAAGGTTTGGGACCCATCATTTCTTAATCGGGTTGTTTCTTTTCTTACTATTGGGTTTTAAGGGTTTCTTTATATTTTGGATGGCAGTCCTTTCTCAGATGTAACCTTTGAAAATATTTTCTCGGGGCGCCTGGGTGGCTCAGTCGGCTAAGCATCCGACTTCAGCCAGGTCACGATCTCGTGGTCCGCGAGGTCGAGCCCCGCGTCGGGCTCTGGGCTGATGGCTCAGAGCCTGGAGCCTACTTCCGATTCTGTGTCTCCCTCTCTCTCTGCCCCTCCCCCGTTCATGCTGTGTCTCTCTCTGTCTCAAAAATAAATACATGTTAAAAAAAAAAATTAAAAAAAAAAAAGAAAATATTTTCTCCCAGTCTGTGGCTTGTCTTATTCTCTTGACATTGTCTTTCATCGAGCACAAGTTTTTAATTTTAATGGAGTCTAGCTTGTCCATTAACTGTCATGGATCATGCATTGGGCAGCGTATCTGAAAAGACCTCGTCATACTCAAGCTCACTTAGGTTTTCACACATTATCCTCCAAGTTTTATACTTTGGAGTTCTACATTTAGGTCTGTGATTCATTTAGTGAATGTCGCACGGTATGTATCGAGATTCATTTTTCTGCGTGGGCTGTCCAATTCTAGCTAATTTGCTATTTAAGATGAACATAGAATTCTAATGTTTCATTTAAATTTAACATATTTAATAGCTAACAATTTAAATCATTATTCCTAATATGTTGTTGAGGATTTGTACACCTGTGTTCATGAGACGTCTTGGTCCATCGTGGTTTTTCTCTTGTAATATCTTTGTCTGGTTTTGGTTTTAGGGTAATGCTGGCCTCCTAGAATGAGTTAGCCTCTTGTCCTCTGCTTCTGTTCTTTGCAAGAGATTATAGGGAATTGGCATAATACCTTCTTTATATGTCCAGTAGAATTCACCAGTGAACCCATCTCGGCCTGGCGCTCTCTGTTTGGAAGGTTATTAATTATTGACTCAATTTCTTTAATAAATATAGCCTGTGCAGGGGCACCTGGGTGGCTCAGTCGGTTAAGTGTCTGGCTCTTGACTTCAGCTCAGGTCACGATCTCCCGGTTCGTGAGTTCAAGCCCCGCATCGGGCTCTGAGCTGACAGCATAGAGCCTTCCTGAGATTCTGTCTCCTCCTCTGCACCTCCTCGGCTTGCTCTCTGTCTCTTTCTCAACATAATTACACTTGATCTTAGCCAAAAGGCCGAGAAGCGATATTTCTCAACATAATTAAAAAGAAACTTTAAAAAAATAAAAATAAGCCTG